GGGGGCGGATGGGACACGCAGAAACAGACGAGACAATAAATGTTCCCTTGTTCCACGCTGGATATTTTTCAGCCTGATATTTTAACTGTTTAGATCCTTTTTTCGAGCTTAGAAAACGTCATATACTGCGCCGAAATAGAAAAACACAACTTATGTTAATATCCCTTAAGTTAAGAACCTAGAACAACACTCTCCACATTCTAATTGCGTATTTTCAGTGCTTTTTTTCCTTCACAGTATCCCTACAAATCTAATGGAAACGTCCGAGTGTTACAGCTCTTTTTACTGTGTATTGGAGTGGCTCTTAAAAGAGCCTTTGTGTTGGTTGAAATTTTTTGTTACAAATTATATAGTTGTGACAAGGCTTATGCACGCTCGCCGCGGATGCGCCGGGCCAGCTGGATGTCCTTGGGCATGATGGTGACGCGCTTGGCGTGGATGGCGCAGAGGTTGGTGTCCTCGAAGAGCCCCACCAGGTAGGCCTCGCTGGCCTCCTGCAGCGCCATGACGGCCGAGCTCTGGAAGCGCAGGTCGGTCTTGAAGTCCTGCGCGATCTCGCGCACCAGGCGCTGGAAGGGCAGCTTGCGGATCAGCAGCTCCGTGGACTTCTGGTAGCGCCGGATCTCGCGCAGCGCCACCGTGCCGGGCCGGTAGCGGTGCGGCTTCTTGACGCCGCCCGTGGCCGGCGCGCTCTTGCGGGCAGCCTTGGTGGCCAGCTGCTTGCGGGGCGCCTTCCCGCCCGTCGACTTACGCGCTGTCTGCTTCGTGCGAGCCATCGCAAAACACTGACGGAACCTCCAGCAGAGAGGAGAAAACTGAATGCAGACCAGCCTGCGAGGTCGATATTTATAGAGCTGTCGCGTCTCTGATTGGACCGCTAGCAGCGCGATCTCATTGGCTGCGCTGGGATCCCAGCCCGGGCTCGGGGTCGCTGAAGCTCCGCCCGGAGCCTCTCGGCCCCGCAGCTGCGACCCCGCGCCCCTCGCAAGGCGCTCGGTGCGGGCCCAGGGCCTTGCCCGGGTTTGCAGACACAGTGCTCGTATCCCTTCTGCTTCTCCTGCTCCGCATCACTGCCAGTCTCCTGAGAGATCGTGAACAGCGTAGAGCCTAAATTCAGCAGTTATTTTCACTTTGTTTTTCTTTCTTTATGTCTTTGTTCTGTTTCGGTTTGCTTTTTGTAGATGATGGGAGGATTACAAAAGAAGGAAAAATGTTCTTTCATCTCCTTACGTGAATAAGCGTGTTATTCCCAAAGACACAAAGGAGAGATGGTCTGGTACCTTGTAACAGAGGTGCTCAAAAAGTCCAGTAACATAAGTTTGTAGCTATGGTAAGTATTTAACAAGCTGTAGTGGTTGAAATAAATACTTAGGCTACTCTTTCCACGTTTTTTCATGTTTTAATTTCACTAGGAAATTCTTAATGAGAAGTTTTACATGTCATCAGGCAACATTGTGATGATGTTAACACTTAAGCCATTAATATCTTTTTTTGTGTGTGAAATTTACTGAAAAGGAATATGGTACTGGTTTCCTATATAATTTCCCCCTACTCATGTAGGTGTGAGAAAACCAGACGTGCCCACTTATATTTATTGCTGTCGTTTGCTAGTGGCAAATGATTTTCAAAGGTTTTATATAAAGTTAAAGCTGTTTTTTTTTCCTTTCGGTCATGAAGTACCAACAAAAGTATATTTGGAGTGAGTCCGAGACTGGAGCACACTTTGTATGTGAGAATGAGAAAAACGTTAACTCAAAGCTTTTTTGGACGTATTTTAAAAACGTATTTCTAGGTCCACCATTTTCTTTTATTGCTCACTCCCCTCTCATACCTTCCCTTCCCCCTTTCCCCCTTCCCACACCTTCCCTTCCCCCTTCCCACCAATCCCCCAAATCATCACTAGAAAACCGTTTTAGATTTACTCTTTTATTTTAAAAGTAAATGAATCATAGACAACGAAGGGAGTGGGGAAAGAAGAAAACATTCATCTCAAAGCAACTTTGATTTTTCCCCAGTAGAAAAATTCATTCAAATTTCTTTATACGCAAACAAACACGGAATAAATCAAGACATGGTAATTTCTTATTGTTTAAAGGAGCGAACACGGAAAAAAAAATGGTTAATTACAGATCTTTTAAAGTTATTTTTAAAAAGAATTTGGAACCTCCCTCCTTATGTTGCAAAGACAAATACCCCATCAACGGAAATTTACGTGTTTTACAGCACACATGAAGCCTTGATAGCAGAGCATTAGCCTTAATAACATTGTTTCCAAGTGCCCACAACATCGTGGAACAGCTCTTTTGAATAAAAACGTGGGCGGCTCTGAAAAGAGCCTTTGAGTCTTTATCGCGGTGGTCCGGTAGGAAGGCAGAGGTTTAGCCGCCGAAGCCGTAGAGAGTGCGACCCTGGCGCTTGAGGGCATAGACCACGTCCATGGCCGTGACAGTCTTCCTCTTGGCGTGCTCCGTGTAGGTGACAGCGTCGCGGATCACGTTCTCCAGGAACACCTTGAGCACACCGCGCGTCTCCTCGTAGATGAGCCCCGAGATGCGCTTGACGCCGCCGCGCCGAGCCAGGCGGCGGATGGCCGGCTTGGTGATGCCCTGGATGTTGTCGCGCAGCACCTTGCGGTGGCGCTTAGCGCCTCCCTTGCCGAGCCCCTTGCCGCCTTT